TTCTTTTGGCTGCACCTTCTATTCATTGCTGTGTCTGACACCTTCGTCTCCCACCTTTTTTTTAAGACCTCTGTATGTTTTTCTTGTTCACCGTTTGTATTGTCTCTCACCTAGAGGCGATGGCGCACCCCCCTTGGGCGTGTGGCGGCCTTCTCCGTGTGGCAGTCCGTTCTTGAATTGGCCTTTGAAGGAGGAGCCGTCCTGCCACGTCAGACATCCCTCCCCTTGCATTTTACTGTCTACGAAATCGCCTTCATACCTGAACGACAACAGCAGCGAGGAAGGCCAGAGCAGCACAAGCAACAAAAGGAGTTGACCACAACGTGAGCAACCGTTTCTCCGCCCCAGAGGCCCAGAACACCCAAGATGAACAGCCTCGCAGTTGGCCGACATCTAAACAACTAGCCAATGCTTTCACGAGTAGATGACGTTAGCACATCAGAACGACCAAAGGAATACGCATACAAATGCATATTTTTGCATATGTCCATGCATGCATCAACACATACAGCAGCCCATACATACAGAAAATGTAACTAACGATAGCCCCATCCCCTGAAGGCACAGTACATTGCAGACGCGCTTTACCCGCCATCCGCAACGCACAGAGGATGCATGCGTCCTTGTATGTGGCTGCAGTTCGCGGGCAAATCTCATCACAGCAATGAACCACCGGCAGCGCTGTGGCTGCAGCTGCAGTTGCTGCAGCAGCTGCAGCGCCCGCAACTGCTCATGAGACAGGTACCTACTTTCGGCCGTCTGTGAAGTAGAAAGTGCCCCTTCCGTGCATACGACTCGCGCGCCACTCCCCTTCGTAGACACGCCCGTCTGGCCACGAATACCGCCCATGTCCTGCCAGAGATAGCAACAACGACAGTACCGCATGCACCAATCCTCATACACACCAGCAACAACACACCCATGCAGCAGCTCATCGAGAACCTCAGCTGCAGGCGTAGCAGCCTCTGGCAGCAGCCAACCGCAACAGCCCCCAACGTTTGTGAGTTCCCGTCAGCACCAACACGCAGCATCAATCGTCAGCAGCAAACAGCAGCAGCAGCACAGANCTCGTCTTCGTCGGGGCTGTTGCGCCTGGTGTGGCAAGGCGCTGCTCTGTCAACTCATTTGGCTGGATTCTTTCTGATTCTGTGAAATAGAACTGCAGTCCAATATTTTGAATGTCCCCTGTTGCACTACGCGCTCACCGCTCATCTCTCCTTGTTGAAACTCTCCTTCATATATGTCTCCGTTAGAAGCTGTCATGATCCCATGGCCTGATTTTAGCCCATCTACGAACTGACCGCGGTACTTGGAGCCGTCTGCCAACGTCTCGCACCCCTCGCCGTGACGTTTGTCTTGTTTCCAGTGTCCAACGTACCTGTGGCAAGAAAAAAACATGGGCAGCATCTGATCAAGAGCAAATGCTTAACCAATATATGAGCATACTTAAAGCAATGGGTACACAAATTTGGAAAGGGAGGGATGAACAAACTGAGCAGAGCGTTGAAACGAAAACACTAGCATACGCGCGGGCGCGCTTCGGTGCAAAAAGTTCCAAGCGTTCACAAGAACAAATTAATATAGAGATGTACATGCATATTCACGCACATCCATGTGGATGCACGGATGCAGACCTATGCGTGCTGCTCCTCCTAGAGGAATGAGGGTGTACAGGCACACACAATATTACATCCCTGACGAAATACACATATGTTGACTGGAAACATATACAGAGTCCTGTGCATGAGCTGCTCTTCTGTGCATAGTGGTGCGTAGTATCGCCTCCCCAGGGCGTCTTGCCATACCAACTTCCAAGATATATGGAAGGAAACAATTAGAAAATGGTATCTTACTTCGAGCCATCAGGGAAGGTATACACCCCTGGTCTTGTGCGCGTTTCTGCCTTTCCCCTAACAAATTCTCCTTCGTATTTGCTGCCGTCTGCCCTGGTGAGCCTGCCGAATCCGTCGATTTGTCCCTGATTGAACTGGCCTGTGTACACCACCCCATGCGCCTGTCGTTGCTCCCCGCGACCATGCTGCTTTCCATTTCTCCACTCGCCCCTGTATGTGACACCATTCTTCATGGCAACCTCTTCGCAGTCCTCGGGAATCGTCAAGTCAACACCTTCCAGAGGGTCCACGTCTTCTAGCATATCATCTTCCTGCGTCGGATTCGCGTCAGGAAAGGCGCTACCGTTGGCCTCAGGGGATACCACGGTGTCTCCAGGGCCAGTATTTGGCCCCTCCTCTTCTCCCTCGGTCTTGCTTGGTTTCTCATTGCTCAGCTTCGAAACAGGCGACTGGGGGCAGGCGGCCGCAGTGGCCTTGCTCCCTGAACACCCCATTTAAGCGGCGATGCTTGACTTTTCAGAGTACCAAGATGGATACGATCAGGGACAACTGATTAAAAAGAGGCAGTGAACAGGACCAGGAAAACTAACCCCAACGACAAGGCTGCAGACAGCGGAACTCTGCTCTCTCTAGCTCGCAGCTGAAACAGCCAAGGAGAAAAATGCCAACACCACGGGCTGCCTCTTTAGTGACTTCACGTAATTTGCGAACATGAAAGAAAATTCCTCAGCAAAAGCTTGCTGGCGGGTTTTCTTCACCCTTATTCCTGTGACCGCCACAGCGCTGACCGGGCGAGTCCAGTGGCAGCCGTGGCTCCGCTCTTATCTAAAACCAGTGAAGTGTACGGTAATCTTCCTGAGTTGATGAATTAACTATTGTTATAACATGAATTCACGTCTCAACCCATCAACAGTAGCCGATATTTCCCCATGGATATTCGCTCTCTTGCCGCAGGGTACTCGGCTCGACCACCAGCAGTTGGAAGTTCTGGGCTTTGCCGTTCGGGGCTGACGGCGATCTTGGACCCATGAGAGCCAATGAGGCAAAACTGTGCCATACAACTATTCAGAGTTTGCATGAACACACAACAACTTAGTTCCCCGCCGCCTGTCCGAGAACTCATGGAGAAGGATCACACCTGCACTCCTTCGCAACGGGCGGTGGCGAAGCTGCTACACTCCAAGCAGAAAAGGCACGCAAAATGCCAGTCATTCAAGAAAACTTAGTGCTTCATGACTAAATAAGCCATCAAATGGTCCTTCTATCGATACGGCGACCACGAAGACAACCAGCAATTTCACTGCCTGCCGGGGAGACTGCGTCGCTGGATTTACTCTGGCAAGGAAACGAATTACCCTTGCAGAGAAACAAGGAAAGTAGCGCGGCAGGCAGCGCAACATCATATATTAGTCAGAACGCAATAATTCTCAGTTTGCTTTGTTTTTGCGCCGCGCTAACAGGCTAGCGCTGAGGCGAGAGGGAGGGCAGACGTGGACTGGTGCTGTTGTGTAAGATTCCTTAGTGAAGCAGAATCCCTCCGAGTTAGTCCGAGTTAGAGAGGTAATGGTGGTATACGACTCCTTAGTGAGATGGAGTCTGTCCGTGCTTCCAGCAGCAGTAAAACTTGCTGCAGGGAGCCACTGTACAATCATCTCAGTCAATGCAGAAAGCACTTGCCGCTCCAGTATTCCCCCCCTTATACTCGTATCAGATAGGCGCCAGAAGACTTCATCTTGTCTCACGGACTGCTGTTGATAAAAGGCGCTTTAGTAGGTACCTTGTTGAACCTCACTGTATTACCGGTGCTTCGAAGTTGTCTTCGAGTTGCTTTCTAATGTTTCCTCCAGTCAAAAGCGTCCGTCGATACTATTTGTACTATGCATACGATAGCTTTGATTAATAGGGAGACACAGGACACTGAATATGAGCTTGCTAGGAGGAGGGTTCTGGGAGGGAAGAGCGTCCTGCGTCCTCCGTTGGGGCCCCCAGCAGCAGTAATAGTTGCTGTAGCGAACCACTATCCAATCATCTCAGTTCATGCATAAGGCACTTCGCTGCAATACGTCGCTTGTAGTCATACTTAGATAGCCACCAGAAGACTCTCTTGCTTCCCGAATTGCTGTTGACAGGAGGTTCCTGCAACTGTTGCACCCGGGTAAACAATTACTCATGCAGGCTCCTTCTGTTGAAGTCAAGACTAGGCAAAATCCTTTTACTAGTAGCTGACTAGAACTAAACACTTCTGTAAGGGAATCCACAGCCGGGGCTGGATGACTTAAAGTCAGAGAGACGGAGAGTACAGGAAAGAGGGATTGTTCATTGTTTTTCCTCGTGTGTGCACACACGCACCGTGGCGGCGCATGAAGGCGGTTTCTGAAAGACGGCTCCATTAACAAGTTATGTCATTTGCTCCGTCTCAGAAATCGGAGATCCGTTTCTGCCCAAATGGCCTGGGGATGGCGAAAAGTAGTCCAAAGGGAAATGCCATAAAGCCTTAAGGGCCCAGACAGGCAGCAACAGGCAGGCCGCTGCTTGAGCAATAAGCAGAGTAGACTGCTCTTAAATCACTGCAGATATTTCCATTTACATACAAACGCAGTTTACAATGGGGCCGCCAGCAGCGGTGCGTTTGTGCTCCTCATGAGCAGCACTTCCGTCGTCCCGAGATTTGCTGAGGAGATGACGACACCGCAGCAGAACATCTAGTGCATGGATGCGTCTACAGATTCCATTGCATCAATTCACTGAGCATTGCTTTATGGGGAGTATCCCCGGTGATGCATGAGAGCAAGACCAGGTAGGGAGAGCAGTGAGCCAGAAACATGACGAGCCAAAACATGTAGTTCCTGATTTGACTTCTCCGGCCACATCTTCCCACGATAACCCAACTCCACGAGTTTCTACTATGAGCATGTTCATAACGCTTGTAGTGCACTGATAGTGTCACGGGACAAGAATTCAGTGGCGTTTGCATTTCACACCTACCCGTGAGACTGCAGCCTGAGTAGACAGCTGCTGAGATGAAGACGACGCAGCAGCCCGTTCCGACTGGGACTCGATTGGGCCGGGAGAAAAACTGCGGGGGACTCGCAAGCACATATGATTTGAGGGAAAGATATGGCGCATTCCACACGAGTCACAAGTTTCTAGCCTGACGCCCTTTCTTCGCCCTACGTTTAACTACTGGGAGCAGCCACTACGTGCAACTTTTGCTCATTCGCTTGCCAAGTCACCGGATGCACAACAGAATGACTGCCGCCTTTCGTTGTGCCTTTGGTATCCTGACGGTTAACTAGCTGGAAAATAAAAAAAAAGCCTCACCGGATGTCTCGAATTCTACTCGCCGCGCACCTGGAATGCAAGCACAACCAGAGAGCAGCACAGCATGTTAATGTCGTCAACTCCGCGCGCCTGTTTGACGCTCTGGATGGTCTCCTCTGTAGAAAGCTTCCTTGAATACAAAACTCAGCAGATAAGCTACCAGGCAAGACGACTTACATGAAGGCCTCCTCAACGTTCACATTGCCCTTGGCAGACGTTTCAATGAAGGGTATTGAATACTCACGAGCCAAGTCCTCACCCTTAGAGCGTGACACTTGCTGCAGGCGTCGCATAAATATCGAAAAGAGAGAAGCAAGGCATCAGTATGTGTTGGGCCCAATTCACCTGAAGCTGCAAGCTCTGGTTTGCCTTTGTGCAAGTGTGTTGAAAACCGTGTTCTCAGTAATCTTGCATTTGCCAGCAGCAGTGGCTTCAGCCTTCATTCGGCACCTAGTCGAATGGTTGACTTCATCTGCTTTCGGCGTTTACCCTTTGGGCCTGAAGGTCGAGCTTGTTGGCCACTAATACTCGAACGATGCTAGGGTCTGCGTATTCCTCAACGTTTTGCATCCATCGCCGAATGTCTGTAGGGGGGCACACAACGCAGCAAACAGGGGAAAGAGCATTCGGAATCAACCAACAATGAGTTGAAATAAGACGTCGCAGCATCTACAAAAAATAACAGAAACCCGATCAAGCAGATGACGCACTGAGAAATGTCTGCAAATTCGTTATGTCGTAGACCAGCATGACCCCCATGGCACTCCTGAAGTAGGCTGAGGAAAACACAAAAAAGCGAACTGCCAGCCTCAAGTCGGGCAGCAAATCTCCCGACCTGACCTGGAGAGAAATGCTAACCGGAAGTCGGCACAGTACAAATAAAGAACGGTTTACAACACACGCGACGCTCCTTGCCAGAATGCGTAACCAGTCTACTCGGTTTTGCGGGAAACTGCAAGACCTCTTATGTGTTCCATTTTGCTCGAGGATTACAAATTGCTGCCTATTTACACAAATGTCACCTGGGGTAATGGTTCGAAAACGCTCTTGGCCAGCAGTGTCCCACACTTGCAGCTTTATGCGTCGCCCGCCACATTCGACAACTTTTGTCTTGAAGTCCACTCTGAATTTACAAACCCGGAAATACCCAAAATTACATCCGTAGGCTGCTCAAGTTGTCCGAAAAAGGCAGCATAGAGGCAGGTAAAGCCTCGCCTTCACTGCCTTATCCAGTGCAATCCTAATGCTCAAAGTGGCAGCACTTATTTTTAATAAATAAGCTGAACGTGACGCCCCTCTATCTCGCCCCACCCCGCCAATGAAAGCTTCTCACCCGATTGTCAGCACGAAATTCGGGTCAAATTTATTCTCGGCGAAGCGTAAAAGAAGACTTGACTTCCCAACAGCTGCAATCAGAGACAAAAATACCAAAATCAAGGCTGTGCAAGGTTTAACATAGGCGCAAAAGTTCAGACGACTGACTGCACGCAGCTATACAGTAGCAAAAGTGGTCAACTCAAGTGCATGTGCATGTTCCTATCGGTCCTTCCCAGTGAATACGGACTACTTGCTCTTCGAATCGTCTGAAAAGGATGAAAATAAACTCACAACTGTCGCCAAGAACTAGGAGCTTAACGAGATGGTCGAAGGGCTCTGCCTTCTCTCGTCTTCCTCCGCGGTAGGACATCTCTTCCGTTCAAGGAAGTCTGATCAACTGTAAACACAATGATCGATTTGTCATTACTTTGAAATGCCCTTACTCCAAATTAATCTGGGATCCCACCCCCACGAATCGTATTTTTTGTCGGCTCCCTATCTTTCAGCACGAAGCCCTCTAGTCCGCCGACACTCCCGTTTCCCTTTTCCTCCGCTTACCCGCTTCCCACCGATAAGTCAACCCGTGGTGCAACCTTCACAGCCAAAGACATACACCTGTAGAACTGGTTGTCTTCGCGGCTGCAGATTTCGTCCAGCCCCGAGCTGAATGGCGCAAGCGTCGGTGTGCTGAATGCACTGCCAAGCCCGAACTCATGAAGGTGCCAGCAGGACTCATCGCCCTTTGTAAATACTGCAAGACAAGAAGGCGCCCTCAGCGCCCTGAAAGTCTGTGGCTCCCCTTCTGGGGGCCCCGTGGAACGACGCCTGAAGTGCGTATTCTTATGGGTGATATTCTGCGTGTAAGTAGGGAAGACAAGTTAATGCGACAGACAGAGAAGTCTCAAGATGCGTCCCAAGTATCCACTTTCGTCCAAATGAAAAGGGATATCGTAAACCCCTGGCTACTGAATCTGCAAGCTTCCCGACTCAGCNCACTTTCGTCCAAATGAAAAGGGATATCGTAAACCCCTGGCTACTGAATCTGCAAGCTTCCCGACTCAGCTGTGCCTGCGGCCATGCAAGTTGGGAACTACACTTGGCGCAATTCCATGAACTGTGGCGCTTTCAGGGGCGAGGATGAAAAACGAGACGCCTATGGAGCTGACTAACTCAAGAGCATGACCGCTTTCTGCCTTGGGCAGGGAGAAGGAAAGAAATAAATGGGAATGGCAACACAAAGGCGGTGGCAGGGACCCGTAGTTCTGGTGAAACGGGCAAATACACGGGAGGAAAAGGTGCTGGCAAGTACATAAAAACAAAATGAAAACAAAAATATATCAGACTGCGTTTAGCGAATATCATAGGATTTGTCCTCTATTGGCTCTTACCCACAGCCGACACGCGAGATGAGACCTGCCGTGTGTTTCTGGGGCTGAAAAGGGGGGCCCCCTATACGCGCCTGCAGCTCGTTTTCCCTGCATTGTTCTTGTGTTGAATGCTTACTTTTCCTGTGTCATTCGAGCACTTTTGTACGCCTTAAGAAACGGCGATGATCATTTTCTTGACCTAAACTCCGGGGGCACCTCCTACGGGCACTGTAACGAGTCCTCGACCTTATGCGAGGGCAGTCTTGAGCTGCAACAGAGAACAAATACTTGAGATAAGCGTTTCCAACAGCAACTGACCTCATCTGCAGTCACCAGGCAAAATCTGGGACCAACAACCGACGGAGTGTGAACGGGGGAGAGGATGCGGCGTCACACGAGTTGCGACGCTGTAACATGAGTTAGCGCAGAGTTAGCTCAGGAGCCTATCGACAGCTTTGGCATGCTGCGCGTAAGCGCCTGCAAACGATATACAAGTTCGTTATGAGGCAAAGCATGCAGCAAAGGAAGCTTCTCTGAAGCTTCCTTTAGTGCACGCGTGGGGCTGGCTAGCTCAGCTAGCCGCAGCGGGGTGCGCTGCAACCCCATTTCGGGCTGCCTCCTCCCCTCGACACCCTGGCCCTGGGCTCAACGCCCAGGATGCCTAGGTACCGCGGAAGGAGGTCAGCTGCTTTTGGGAAACTCTTACTTTAAGTTTTGCCTTCATTGCGGCTCGTCTCTGGTCAGGTCTAAGGCCGGAGAAATAGCGTTACACTTGGTAGCACCGCATGGTTCATCGGGGCAAGGTGCGAACGCGGATCCCACCCCCACACGGGTGAGATCAAGCATAGCTGGAAACAAGCGACCAAGAAGAGAATATACAAAAAAAAAATTTTATTTTATCCGTTTATTTAGGTCGAAATAAAACCCATTTCCCTTGTGGACGAAATCT